AGCAGACAGCAGAGTACTGACATGGCAACCAAGACATCCTCATGCTTCCATGTTACAAAATGCTAAACTGATTTTGCACAGAAATAACAGAGTGGCTACATAAGAAATCTTAAAAATTTTGCCATTTTACATAGCTTAATGTTAGGTTGTTCAGTCCATAAATGGGAAGAGGAAACATGTAAAGAGTTTTTTTCTTTAAAAAAAAGTTTCATTCCTAAATTTCTCTAGCAGCCAAAATAGGGATAAAGGAAACTCTATAACTTTCTGTGTCCCATATCAACTTGAATAGGATAAAATTGCTTATTATACACTTTTGCTAACACATTCTAAAACTCTGGTACAGAAAGGAGGATGGCGGGGAAACTACCAACCTTCAGCATGTCCTCTCCTTACTTCAACTTTTAGTTCTTACTGCAAGGAAAATAAATAGTTCAAGGACATACATATGATGATGAACACAGCAATCCCACAAGCAACAGCAATGGAAAACATCTGATCACTAATGTATGTTTTCAGTGCTACCCAATGCACCCAAGTGAATCCCTGAAAGTCATGGAGTCTGCCTTAGCTTTAGGTTGCTCAAAGTGGAAAGATAATACCATGGAAAAATAACACCAACTCCAGAACGTGCACTTGCAATAAAGAAGCTGAAAAGTCATATTGCAAGAGTTTCTCAATGGCCATATAGGGACCATACACCTCTAATGGTTAAATCCTGTAGAAAACAATGTCATTGTCTCAAGACCCCTTCCTGCACTCCACAAAAAAACCTGACTTGTAAAACCATAGTGCCTGGTATTTCACAAATTATACTCCATCCTGCTTCCCTGTATCGAATTTCTCAGCACTCTGTCATTCTGAGAACTGAGAATCTAAGCTAGTACCCCAAGTGAAAAACATCCAATAATGTCCAGGGAAGCTGACAGAAGTAAATACAGGGTTAAGCCCAAAGCAAGACATCTCCAAAATATTCCTTTATCCTCCAGCAATTTGAGGCTCAGCAGCTTTTCAGTTAATAACTACCAACATATATTTTTGCTTTTAGGCTACTCTTGTCTGGATAGAAGTGAAGTGTCAGTATTTGCAACACGCTATACAAGAGGCCCTACAAGTTCTCTGTGCATCAGCTGAAAGTTCATTTCTTTTGTCTGCTCTGAGCTGGCTACCTGCAAATCCCTTAATGGGACATAGTTCTTGTGTTGAAAGAAACAACAGATAGCGATTCTCTATTCCCTTCTCCATATCACTTATGATTATACAGAACTCTCTCATATTAACTTTTTTCAGCCTATTTTTCCCCATCTCAAAACCTTTAGTCTCCTTGGACAGTCTGTACCAAGATCATCTCTGACACCTTTCTTCCCACCTCCTGCAAGGCTATTCAGTTCTCTTTGAGATGCTGGGACCAGGACTGCATATGCTATTTGATATTATACAGAAATCAGTAATTTGTCTGTGTAACCATTTCCTTTGTTCTTTGTTGCTTTCCCAGTAACTTCTAACACTTGATTAGCTTTTGTCTGACCAATGATGTAGCATCTTTATAGAGCTATTCACTCCCCAGTCATTACTCCCGAGTGGTAAATAGTCAACTCTGAGCCCACTGTTGTATACAGAAAATTAGGGTTGTGCATTTGGTTTTATTTAGCATCGCACAAAAGTTGCAGATATGTTTTTAAGATTTCCATGTAGGAGTAATTTTTATTCATAGCATTTTAAAACCACGCTGATGGTCTGTTTCTTGTTCAAATCAAAGAAAAAAAAAATTCAACACAGGTCCTATATACATACCTTGTAATAGAGTGCATCCTATCGATAAGAAAACACACCAAATTTAGTTTCATTCTAAAACCTCCAAAACAGTTTTTCTAATATTCTTCAACAAGGCTGATGAGCAGCATCTAAACCTACAAGAATGTAGTTAACACTGAGAGCTAGGACCTATGAAGCTACATTACCATCAAAGACCTCTTAAGACATATCCTAACAGTAAGAAGCATAGCCCCTACATTCAAGATACCATGCTTTCTAGTACCAACTTAAACTCTGCCAAAACCAACCTTCACCCCTTTTCCCTGCACATCATCTGTATGAGTAAGTGCTCTCATCCCTGACTTCAACCTTTTCTCTATGAGTAGTTTGGCTCATTGCTGTAGCATTTCTCCCAACACTACTGCAACCAAACCTCCTTTCTCAGCTTTGCTACCTCCCTGAATCGAGACTGACCTTACACAATGACAGGTTAAATACAAATTTACTGCCTTTTCCACAGATTGCAGCATATTTAATAACACAATCCAGTTACTACAAAAACATCACAGAAGTGTTTAATGCTAGACTTCTTGCTTCAAATTAACAGTACTTTAGAGATATTAACAAAAAATGTAAAAACCATCCACAGATATTTGGAAAGAGGAGGTCACACCAAAATTTTTAAACAACATCCTCACAGAACACTTTTTTTTCATGTTAAACTGTTGATGCAAATAGAAGCAAATGAGAACAGAAGAAAATGATTATTTAATAAACTACTTAACACCTGACACTGTAAAAAGCTTTTACAAAAAGTAACCATTTACCAATGTTTTTACTCAGGCTGACAGCCTGTCACAAGTGGGGTCCCCCAGGATCAATACTGGGCCCCACACTGCTCAACATCTTCATAATCTGGATGATGAGACTGAAAGCACCCTCACCAAGTTTGCTGATGACACCAAACTGGGTGGTGAGGTGGACACGTCAGAAGGGTGAGACATCTTACAGAGACACCTGGAGAAGCTGGAAGAGCAGGCTAGCAAGAACTGCATGAAGTTTAACAAAGACAAGTGCAAGGTCCTGCACTTGGAATGACATAACCCAAGAGCCCAGTACAGGTTCGGATCTGTGTGGCTGGGGAGCAGCCTTGCTGAAAGGGACCTGGGGGTCCTGGTGGACAACCAGCTGCACAGCAGTCAGCAGTGCACTGCTGCAGCAACAAAGGCAGATTGGATCCTGGGCTGCATTTGCATGGGCATCACTAGCAGCAATAGAGACGTGATCATCCCACTCTACTTAGCGCTTATCAGGCCATGCCTGGAGTACTGTGTCCAGTGCTGGCCCCCACTATTCAAGAAAGACATGGACAGACTGGAGAGGGTCCAAAGGAGAGCCACAAAGATGATCAATGGGCTGGAGAACCTGCCCTATGAGGAAAGGCTGAAGGAGTTAGATGTCTCTTCTCCAGGGAGAAAAGACCTAAAGGCAGGGACCTCATCCCAGTATTCCAGGACTTAAAGGACACCTATAAGGAGGACAGAGGCTCTCCCTTCACAAGGAGGGAGCCACATGTAGAGGACAAGGGGTGGAATCCCTATCACTAGGGATTTTAAGACGTGACTGAACAGAGCACTAGATAATCTCATCTAGGCTCCCCTTCCCACAGAAGGCTGGACCAGGTGAACTTTAAAGGTCCTTCCAACCAGGGTTGTTCTATGATTCTAAGAGAGTGGCATTGCCCCAGATAGCTTGCTGTACAAGTGGCACCAACCGAGAAGAAAAGGTAAAGTAGTATAATGGTTTCCTACATAAGTTTCGCTTCCAGTTAAAAGTATTTTCTGAACATCCAAGAGGTTGAATGGAGCAAAGGAGCACTCTTAAATGTATCATACAGCAGTTCAAGTAAAGCAAAAGACATCTTAACAACAACAACAAACTTTTGCAGGATAGTATGATTCACTATTACTAAGTTAAAGGAATTTCCCTGCAACTGCTTCTCAAAAAGGGGGAAGCACACAGTGCAGCAGGATCATCCCACACTTGTGAAGTCACTGAAGGGAACTTCTATTGCGTAGAAACAGTTCCACAACTGTGCAAGAGAGACACAATATATTACCTGAAGTCCTCTCTCTGTCTTCCCTCTTTGCCTTGAGAAAAGACATCACTACTGCATAAGCCTCAGGCTATTCAGGCCATTTTCTCACTACTTTTTTTCTGAAAATATCTTTGCTCAATAAGATCTGGTTGCTGCTTACTTTGGCCTTCCCTCTCTCAAAAGCCCATCATCACAACCTCATACTTTTTCCATACCCTGTCCTCCTCTTACACTTTCCTTTCCATACAGTTATTCCCCACTCCTTAAACTTCAAAACAAGTCATGTCATCTAACTGATGTGCCATTTACTATTTTATCATTCAGTCCACCTACAAGTTACAACAAGAATCAGCAGCTTACTACACAAGTACCAAGCATGGTGTATAGGCAGATTTTGAATAACATGCATCAGGATTAGCACAGGTCTCAAAGTCACAGCAACTCTACGAAAGCATCTGTGAGTGGGAGCCTCCTAATTCTCAACTAACATTACAGCAAGATATAACCAAGCAAATAACATCCTGGCTCCACGAAAACAGGCTGTCCTACTTCTGTTCAAGTTACTACTACTCCATGACCAGAGTGTTGTAATGGAGGGATACTGACTCTTAGGAAAGACAGGCCAGGAAGAGATGGAAGGAGTTGCCTTTTGTATCTCATTTAATGAAAAGCTGAGAGCTGGGACTGTTTAGCCTAGAGGAGAGAAGGCCGGGAAGCGGGGGTGGTGTCATCTTATCAATGTATACAAATATCTGAAGCGGGGTTGTAAAGAAGACCGACCCTGACTCTTTCCAGAGGCATACGCACAAAAACAGGTAGTAAGAGAAAAACCAAGCAGCTCAATAGCACTACAAGGGGCAAAACCCATGAACTCAGGCGGCTGCCACTCAAAACTGAGTTCCCGGCTGCTTTCTGCCACTGCCGGTACCGCAGCCCAGCTCCCCTCGGGGCAGAAGGGGCTCTCCCCAGGGCGTCCCCCTCCTCCAGCTGCCGCTGGCGGGCCTGCGGGCGGGAGGCGGCGGCCAGGGCCGCCCTCAGGAGCGCACCGACCCCGCGCAGGACGAGACGGCCCCAGCACCCGGCCTGGGGGAGCGAGGGAGAGAGGCTAAACGGTCCCCGGGGAAAGGCAAGGCCGGGCCGGGCACCCCACCTGCGCCAGCAGCGCCTGCCGCTGCTCCTTACGCTCCGCCAAGCTCCGCTCGCTCTCAAACCCGGACGCCATCGCCAGTCCCCGCCGGAAACCAACCGCCGCGCAGCCGCCGTGCAGCGAGGCCGGGAGACTGTCGTAAATGGCGTTCCGGGCAACGGCGGCTCCTCCCGGCGGTGCTGCGGGGCACGGCGGCCTCCCCGCCGGGCCGGGGCCCTCCGAGGTCCTTGCGCCCTCCCTGAGGTGAAGCAAGGCCCGCCTCCCGCCTACGGGGTGAGGCGGCAGATCCCTGTGCCCCCGGAGGCCGGCTGTCAGCCAGCGTCCGGCCGTAACGCTCTCGGTCTTACGACAGAGTTTCCCCAGCTTCCCTCGTAGCTTCAAAATCAAAGTCAACTTGTGGAAGGCTTTCCGCGGCGTCGCGGGTGAAGGTCACAGCAAATATCGTGTGGCGGCACAAGCAGCTTAGCGGACCCCTGTGCTGCTTGACTGACAGGACCACGAAGCACCGGGATGGGGAAACTGACCTCCAGGCTCGCCCCTCCCGCTGGGCTGAAATTACCCGGGGTTCACCCCGGCCTCCTCCTCTGGACCAACACTAACGAGAAGCAAAGAAGGGAGATGTGGCCTCACCAATGCTTGCATGCTCCAGTGCCACGCAGCGCCTGCTGCTCCGCATTGCCACGACCCACCTGCAGACCATCTCCCAGCTGCTTTCTGCCCCATTTGCAGCCGGTTTGGTGCATCTGTGCTAGCCTGTGGCTTCTGTAATGGCAGGGTGCTAGCTGTTTGGGGTGGGAGGAAGGAAATTAAAAAACATGCACGTTTGAGCGCTTACAAGCTACAGTTGGCCAACAGTGTTTCACAGGGCTGCTGTTATCTCAAGTGAAGTGAGACGGGGAACCAAAGAAACCTTAGCAGATATAGTAGATATATGAATGTGGATAAGAATTGTTTAATAATTATCTAGCTTATAATGAAGTTAAAGAAGTTTCAATAGAGGTAGACATGGCCCAAGGGGATGAGAAGTGATGTTTAACGCTTGCATTGTTGAGGCTGGCCGGGACAGGAGATAGTCCCTGATAAGAAGCAGTAGTGGCTCCAAGAACCAGCCAAGACCGACCTTGTGATTTGGACAAATGCCAAGGGACAACTGAGTCTGCACAGACAGAAGGTTAAGAGTTCACCGTGAAGAAGACATACAGCCTTCATCTTCACGACCACCAGACGACCACCATAAGGAGGCACTGCGCAAGCGCAGTTGAGAGGAGACTATGGAAATGACTTCCTAGAGCTAATTTTAATATGAAGCGGGGGATAGGTAATGCCATGTATAGGCGTATTGCGAAACTCTATGTATATGTAACACTTGACTGTATAAATTTAAAGTGAACTGCCAAATCAGGCGCACACGACTTTGGTGGGACTACCCCCCGTGCTGCCCAGCGCTGAATGAACATACCTACTTTACAGTCTCACTGATTGTGGAGTCTGTTTTCCGCACGTCAGAAGCAAATGTTTATTTGAGACATCATTTCTTTGGGAGATCAGAGCATTGTTAATGTGTCTGACACCAAATGTGTTCACAGCTGCCAAGTAATAACATTATTTAGGTAAAGATCTGAGCAAAGTGCTTGCACAATTTGTTAGCTATTTGCATGGGACAGTATGTTTTCAAAGATATAATGATAATTTAATCATCATCTCCCTACTGGTATTAAATATGTAAATTACATTTGTATCTTTGTTCAATTTATGCTGTGACAGTTAACAACATCTCAAGAAAAACCTATTGTACATCACCACTTGGTAGAGAGTGATAACTGATAGAGCTTCATAGGCACCATTTGGAAAAGCAGCACGTGAACCCCCTTTGGGGACCCATTTACAAAGCAAACAGGTGGACACAAAAGACATTCCAGCAGGACTAATACTATGCTTAATCCTTAGCTCCATGCAGCAAAGTACACAGGTTGAGAGAGGAGAAGCAAGAAAAGCGCATGTTTGGCCCAGTAAGGAAAGCCTCTTCTCTTGATAGTGATGTGCTGCTTTTCTTACCAACAAACTGGTTTCTTTCCATCCCAGTGTTACCACTTGCTCCAGGCAGCCAGCACAGCATCTCAGATGGGTGCTCCCTAATTCGCTCAGCACACAGCCAGACATCTTGGCTTAATAGATTTATATTAAATCTAGCGACAGGTGTGGACAATTTCTTTCTCCAGTATGGGGGTGAGAACAGGGAATGTGTTTTCTGCAGCAGGAAGTTACAGACAAAGGAGAGAACTCAAAGCAGGGTGTGAGCTTTTGCAGTATTTGGTGTTATTCTTGATAGCTATAACCCTCCACATGATTGATAAGGTGGTACTGTAAATTTTCATTTTAAAACACATTTCCAGTACTCCTGTTTTTAGGAGAGAAACCATGATGCAAATACACTCTAGAATCTCAGAAACTGAAGAACAAGAGTAACTAGAAAGCTATTTTATAAATATGATCATTCTGCCGTTGGGGTTTTTGAGAGCTAACTTTAATTTTGAAGTCAGCAGTTAAGGTAAGGATGACATAATTTAATTTTATTTCCCCCCTCATCCAAGAAAAGGATTTTCTCAGAGGAAGCAGGCAAAGATGGAAGTTTAGTCTTATTTCTTTCAAGTTATTAGAATGCCTGAAAGCTCCTTACATGCTCAAAAATCTCCAGTGAGCCTAGAGAACTAGTCCTTGGTATACCACTTTTAATGGCCAGCTGGGCACCTCTGTTCAGTTACCTCATTCTCAGTGCCAAAATTAAACAAGCTAAGAAAACAATAATGCTTCGGATACACTGATCTTTGCTGAACTCCTGTAGGGAGGCACTGACCTTGCAGAACGAATTATTATTTCCCATTTAATGGTGCATTTTATACTTTCTCTGAAAGAAACTGGTGACTCTCCACCTGACCTGTGTTATAAATCCCCATGCTACTAACCTTCACTGCTTGCCTTCAGCGCTCTGTTTGAAATTTTCTTTTTGTATGAAAAAGGTTGGAAAAAATCTTCTCCACTCAGTGTGATCCTGTGCTGTTTTCTTTAAGCAAAAGGCAATGTTTCACTAGGGAAAAGGGGTTGTTTACTTTGAGAATATGAAACTTTTTTTTCCACAGTGCCGCTGGAGAGAGTTTCTTACCTCAATTTTAACAAAATGTTCTGAAGTCTTCATACTAAAGAAGCACAATATCCAGTAGGATGCTGGGGAGAGGACAGAGAGGGTGTACACCTGTCGTGGTTTAACCCCAGCCAGCAACTAAGCACCACGCAGCCGCTCACTCACTCCCCCCCATCCAGTGGGATGGGGGAGAAAATCAGGAAAAGAAGTAAAACTCCTGGGTTGAGATAAGAACGATTTAATAGAACAGAAAAGAAGAAACTAATAATGATAATGATAACACTAATAAAATGACAACAGTAGTAATAAAAGGATTGAAATGTACAAATGATGCACAGGGCAATTGCTCACCCCCCGCCGACCGACACCCAGCCAGTCCCTGAGCGGCGAATCCCTGCCCCCCCCTTCCCAGTTCCTAAACTAGATGGGACGTCACATGGTATGGAATACACTGTTGGCCAGTTTGGGTCAGGTGCCCTGGCTGGGCATGAGAAGCTGAAAAATCCTTGACTATAGGCTAAACACTACTGAGCAACAACTGAAAACATCAGTGTTATCAACATTCTTCGCACACTGAACTCAAAACATAGCACTGTACCAGCTACTAGGAAGACAGTTAACTCTATCCCAGCTGAAACCGGGACAACACCCAAGTCAAAATGTACTTAGTTTCAGTTAATTCTCATGCTGTTCATTTTTAAAACCACCTGGTTTTCCATTGCCATTGGTACTGCTGAGCAGTCATTTACATTTGATTCTGAGGGATTACTTAAGACTGGCATGGGAATTCTCAATGACTTGTCTAAGAAATAAAAATGTCAGTCCTTGGAGAAATTGCAGCAGGAAAAAAAAACCAAAAAATTATGCAATTATGGGGAAAAGCATATTTCTTTCATAGAAATTTCATTATGTTTCCTCAGGAGAAAATTAAAGCAACTGTGTCTAAACTCAGTGCCATAAAATGATAGAACACCTTGCCCAAAAATCAATGTAGCAGCAATGCCTGGGTTATTAGCTGCTTGTGCCTGAATTGTGCAGTGAGCACCTGAATTGAAAAAACAGACAACTTTCTACTGTCCATCAGAAAGAGTGCTTCTGGCAGCAACAAAAGAACCCCCCCCTGTGTCATTGGGGATCCTGACAGCCTGCCTCGGAAAGGAGAGCTCAGCTTGCAATGAAAACAAACAAGGATACTGTGGTGGATCGAAGAATGATTCACCCGTTGTTCCATATTCAATAGCAAATCATGTGTTGTCTGCCCCTGAGCGATAGTTATTTTGTTAATTTGCTCAGCTACTTTAAAAACAAGTGATCTCTTCAGCTGTAGTTTGGCAGAGCAGGAGGATGGGGTTTAGAAATATCCATTTTCCCTCTCCCCACCCCAGCTTCATCACTATAATAAAGAGGATCATTCATCTGGGAAATTCTCTAGTGACAACTACTAATAATAAATTATTTGTGAGGAAGCTGTTACACATGTGAAATGATAACTCATTCAGTTCATTTCTTGTGGGGCTTTTACATGCTTTTTTTTTTCCTTTGAGAAGTTGCAAACAAAGACTTTTATCAGACAGGAAGCTCACAGCAGTGATAACATCCATCCTGTCCTTGATTTGCTGAGTCTGGAAACACATCTTTTTAGAAACCATTTCTTTGAGAGAAATAGGTAAGTCTTTTCTGGTGCCTGCTCGACATGGAAAGGTCCAGACGTGCACATGCCAGGGAGCTTCAAATCAGCTACTTTCAAAATGAGACATAAATACTGACTCAGATCACCTGGCTGGGGCAGGAATTAAAATTCTGGGCCTTTAGTTTATCGGTCCTTATGCATCAGACCAATACAAAAATAACTTGAACAGTCTTAGGCAGAGCTTCAGTGCAGTGCAATGGGTTGGTTTTGTTTTTAAAGTGAGATTAAAGCATATTTTTTGCTTTTTAAAGGTAGG